AATCCCAGAGACAGAGGCAGATGGATATCTGAGTTTGAGGCCAGCCTAGTCTACAGAATGAGTTCCAAGATAGCCAGGGCTACGCAGACAAACCCTGTCTTGAAAAACCACGAGGCGGGGAACCATAGCATGATACATGCCTATAACCCCAAGACTGGGGTAAAGAGGGTAGTTGGGCAGTGTCGGGGATCACTGGCGCTTACTAGCTGACTGCCTAGCTCCAGTTTCTAAAGAGATCTTGTCTCAAGAGAAAAGGTCAGAGATTGACGATAAAGCAGGCCACATCCTCTAGCCTGGCATGTGCACATACAACACACACATGCACACATACAAAACAAAATAAATAAACTCCCCTGTGGCACTGACATGCTTCCTCTACTATTAACAGCCCATGTATTTTTTTTTCAGTTTTAGCCCAATGGCATGTAGTTCCCGTTTTAAATATGAAACTTAAAAAGAAGTGAGTTTAGGTTGGAGAGATGGGTCAGTGGTACCACCTGTGCTTCTACAGGACCCTGGTTCAATTCCCAGCACCCATATGGCGGCCCATAACCATCCATAACTCCAGTTCCAGGGAATCTGATAACTTCTTCTGGCCTCCTTGGGCACCAGGCATACACACAGTGTACAGATATATTTGCAGGGAAAATACTCATACACATAAAAAAATTATATAAATCATTTTTAAAGGGATTCCATCTTGTCCAATGCTATGTCTACCCAAACAGTCAATGGGCACAGAAAAATTTGGATACTGCTACCGAGGCACAGTCTCCAAAAGTTTAACGTCTATGTGTGCCCTTTATCAGGAACCTATGGGAGAATATAGATCCTATCAAAATCAGAATGGAAACCAACAAACAAAAAAAGAAGACATCATATCTAGCTAAGAAGAGATCTAAACCAGGCAGTTGGTGGCACACACATTTTATCCCAGCACTCTGGAGGCAGAGGCAGGCAGAACTCTGTGAGTTTGAGGCCAGCCTGGTCTAGAGAGTGAGATCCAGGACAGCCAGAGCTGTTACATGGAGAAACCCTGTCTCAATAAAAAAAAAAAAGAACAGAGGACAAAGAGAAGAAGGAGAGATCCAAAACTGTGCTGGCTTCTTTTCCTTGTCTTGGAAGCACTGTTACTAGTTTCTGGCCAGCAAGGGCTACCGAATGGGACACCGTCTCAAAAAGCAAACCAACAAAGCCAAGTGTGGTAGTGCATGCCTGTGATTCCAGCACATGAGAAGAGGAGAGAGGAGGAGGCTAAGGCCATTTGGGGCTATAAAAAGATCCCAAGACCAGCTTAACTGGCATCAGAGCCAAATGAGCCCACCCCGCAAAACAGGAATCCAAAGCAGGAGGAAAACTAAGAAAACTCCCAGATGGTGATGAAAGAAAGATACAGGGAAGAGATGTAAGACAGCAGCAAATTCAGACAGAACATTAAAGCCAGGTGTGGTGGCGTACATCCTTAATCCCAGCACTTGGGAGGCAGAGGCAGGTATAGCGCTGAGTTCAAAACCAGCCTAGTCTACAAAGCGAGTTCCAGGACAGCCAAGGGTTACACAGAGAAACCCTGTCTTAGGGGGGAAAAAAGTATGGAATATTATTTGAAACAGAGATTTATTACAAAGGTATAAAAAACATGGGAAATAGCCTTAATTTCAAAGAAAAGTCAGAAAAAATAAAGTAATTCATTAATTCAAGCCAGAAAGCCAGAAAGAACTAAAGGTTCTATAAGAAATGAACTATGAAGCCAGGCATGGTGGCACATACCTTTAATCCCAGCACTTAAGAGGCACATGCAAGTGGATCTCTGTGAGTTCGAGGCCAGCCTGGGCTACACAGTGAATTACAGGCCATCCAGGGCTACATTAGTGAGACCCAGTCTCAAAAGACCAAGAAGAGGAAAAAAAAAAAAAAAGAAACAAGCTACAGGGTCGGTTCAGCAATTACTATCTGTGTGTCACTGTGGGGACAGGCTTTCAGGTTTCCTACGCTCAGGATACCACCCCGTGTCTCAACTGACTTCCTGTTGCCTGCAAGATGGAGGACTCTCAGCTACTCCTCTAGGTAGTGTCTGCCCGCCCACGGTCATGCTCCCCACCAAGATGACAATGGACTGAACCTCTGAAACTGTAAGCGAGCCACCCCAATTAAATGTTTCCTATATAAGAGTTGCCATGGCCATGGTGTCTCTGCACAGCAATAAAAACCCTAAGACATTATTCATGCAGTCAAATGCTGAAAAGTAAAAGAAATATGACTATAACTATATTGGGAAAAGGAAAATACACAGGAAGAAGAAAATGCTAAAATTAGTATAAAATCAAGAACATTCTAAATTCTGACGTGGCTTTTGCCAATCTCAAATCCTAATTAGATACGATTAAGAACAGCAACTGTTATAGCCGGATTTGGGGAGTACTTTCTGTCTGGGAACCAGTTTATTGACACTTAATCTCATCTGTTCGAACTGTCCCCCAAATTCACAAGCTCTGGCCCTGTGGC